GGTATGCGCTTTGCACCTTCAAAGTGCAAAGTGTTGCTGCAGTACCACCAGCCACTTTATGACCCATTGACCCTTACTAACGAGGAACTCGAGGTGGTTGATCAATTCACTTATCTTGGCAGCTGCATCAGCAATAATGGGCGCATAGAAACTGGCGTCAGTTCACGTACTGCAAAGGCCAGAGCTGCCTTCTTGAACCTGCGGCATCTTTGGCGACAGAAGGGAATTTCCCTCCGTCTGAAAGGCCGTGTATACAAGGCCACAGTGAGGGCCGTTCTGCCCTATGGTAGTGAGACTTGGCTCCTTCGTTCTGAAGATCTGAGGCGCCTTCAAGTCTTTGATCATCGTTGTCTGCAAAGCATTACTGGTGTCAGATAGCACCAGCATGTCCGCAACGATGATGTGCGTAGGTGAGTACTAGGGGGTTATAATCATGCTCATTCCCTTGAACAACAGATAGGACTGAATAAGTTGCGTTGGCTTGGGCACGTGCTACGTATGCCTGGTCACCGCTTACCTAGGAGGGCCTTGTTTAGTCTGCCAGGTGAAGGGTAGCGCAAAGCTCGAGGTGGATAGAAGTTGACTTGGCAGCGGGAAATGAAGTTACTGACGACCAAACTAGGTGCCGTTGGTTCGTCTCGCCTTCCAGGCTGGAGTCCACGTGACTCGCCTTGTGCTTGGCTCGAGATTTTACAGGAATTGGCTCGCAACCGACACCAGTGGCACGTCTGCTGCCGTCTCCTAATCGGATTGCCTGTTTAAAGTGTGTTTAGTGTTGTGTTATCTGCGGGGTAATGGATGATTATGACGCGGGGCAGTGAAAGCCACAAGGAAGCTATCTCGCCGATGTCGCCTTATCTTTGCACGATAGCCAGCTGTTTGTGACGGTATGTTGCCAACACACAAGGTGTAGGCGCCTTGACCCTGAATGTTTGCTTAGGTCACTAAGGTTTTCAGGCAAGTCCCTCTTCTCTCCCACTTCTTATTCTTTATTTCATAGGTCCTCCTGGTTGTATGGCAGGGAAGCATCAGTTCAACTGGCTGATGTACTGCTGTTGTTGATGATGATGCAGCACCAACGATATGGTGAGGCTACTCAGTTGCAGGAGAATTGTAGAGAATGACACAAGTCATTGTACTCGCTGTTTGTGGGTTTCATCAAATCATTTGTTACAGTGAAGCGCGAGGCATTGTGGCTAGTATTGGGTGTTTGGTTGTCTGAGTAATTTTGTAAGTTTGATCAAATGTCTGCACATTGGAATGCGGGCGAGGGTGCAGCTGAGTGAAAATACCTCGGATGACTTTGCAATTTTCTCTGGCGTGAATCAATGCTGTGTCTTAGCTCCTGTCCTGTTTAATATGTATCTTCATGCCATGATGTTGTGCACTTTGATACCACTTGTGCTTTCGGTGTTCATGTGAAGCACCGTATTGATGGTGGGTTGCTGAACATCCATTGTTTCGGTGCGAGAACCCTAGTCTGTGAGACAACTATCCGTATGTTGCTGTTCGCTGAGGATTGTGCGTTGTGTGCACACAATGCGGATGAGTTTCAGCACATGGCTATTGCTCTGGCTTCGATAGCAGTCGAATTCGGGCTCACCATCAACACAAGCAAAACTGTCTGTCTCTTTAGCCTTCACCCGGAAGAGAGTCCGTGGGCCTGCCCCAAATCCCGATTGCTGACGAAGTGTTTGAAATCAATTCGATGTTTTGCTACCTTGGGAGCGTAGTAACAACCGACAAGCAGATAAGGTGCGAGCTGCGCAGTCGCGTCCTGAAGGCGGCTGCTGCTTTTACCAAATTGGAATGCCGTGTGTGGAACAACCAACAGCTCACTGTTGGGACGAAGCTGCTAATATTTATGTCTATGGTGCTATCCGTTCTATACGGCAGAGAAATCTGGAAGGAGGGCCGACATCTAGGGCGCTTCCATAAGCAGTGTCTGCGCATCTGCTGGAGTGATCGAGTTACAGACACGGAGGTGCTCCGACGCAGTGGCAGGTGTGCAGTGGACTGCATCATTCTCCTGAGGCACCTGATGGGATTCTGGTTATTCGCCGTATGGATTCGACCCGGATACCGAAACAGCTGCTTTATGACCAAATGAGTGCAGGGAAAAGGTACGTGAAAAAATCGAAGTTACATTACTAGGACATGATAAAAGTGAGCCTATCATGTTCTAATATTGATTTCAGATGTTGGGAATCGAAGGCAGTTGATCGACGTGCATGGCGCGATCTGATCACGAAGGCCGTTGCCGAGGTGCAAGAGAAAGCCCTTGTGCATGCAGAGAAGAAGCGGCATTTGCAGAAGCGACAGTCGCCGATGGGATGTGGTCCATTAACCTCGAGCGCATGGCGTTGTAGCACGTGCGGTCGCAAATGCTTGAGTCAGGCAGGTCTAGTGTGCCACGAGCGAGGTCACTCTGGTCCAGCATCGAAACGATGATGGGTCCTGTTGAGAACGTAAGCAGAACGGACGCGGCGTTGGTAGGTACGCTGCATCCCATTTACTAACCGCGTGCTTGTGTGCTGAGTTAATTTATTTAAGGCGGTGGGTTTGCAACGTTGTCTTATGGTTAGTTTGTCACCTCATTTGTTGTGTACCTGTATAATCTACTAGATAGCACAATTCGCTTAAAGTAAAGGTGGTTAACTTCGCTTTCTTTTCTCCTTCTTACACATGTGTCTTAATCCCCTTATCTGCCATCCTGAATCTAACAAAGTTATTTTGATAATCCATTGATTTCATATGCTCATTTAACGCCATATCCTTGCGGGGTAACCGATCTATTTTACTCGACATTTCATTTTATGTGGTTGGTTGTTGCTTGACACCCCCGGTGTGGCTGCCCTTGATGTGCATGATGGCAGGATGCGTACCTATCTATTACCCACTACCTCGTCCATACTGACTCCAGGAGACAGCTGGTCGTTGCTGGAAGGGACGGGGTGCACGGTCTTTGTGGCCGTGTTAGACTCGAAGAGTGGTTCCATGCACTCAGCGTGGAGAGGACTACGGTCCAGCCACCGCCTTGTGTGCGCTTGAATCCCCAAATACAGCGTGCTTGCGTTTGCCTGTGTAGGAGTGTGGATCGGCTCCGTTGATGAAACGTGGCCCCCATCCACACGTCTCCTGGTCTTATTCCTTCGGGTTTACACTGGATATGGGGTGTGTGGATGGAGATGTAGGTGATGCAGCGCAAGCCATCCATGGTCCCTCTGTAGGCGCAGGCGTCCTGTGCCTGTCCCCGTGGAGGCAACAGTGAAAGGCAAAGACGGATACGGATGCTGTCAACCATATATATATATATATATATATATATATATATATATATATATATGTGTATATATATATTACGGACCGTTCCGGCGGTCACGGACAACTGCAAGTGAATATTAGAGAGTATACACCACGACAACCTGGAGGCACTTGGCTTAAGGCCTGCAGTTGAACAACTATGGGTCGAAGTAGCGTTTCCCAATCGTCAGACGCAACACGTGGCTCCCGTGTTTTTCGACGATAGAGCTGAGCTTATAATCCGATAACTTTGGTTTCGTATGGTTAATTTTTGGTCGGAAGAGACCATGTGGCGCTTCAAAATCACTTAGGAATAGAGTGTTGAGACTGCGTTTGTCTGATTTGCAACAATTATTATATGTTATATGTTGTATGCAGCGCCTAATATACTAGGAAAATAACGCTCGAAGTACCTCAGTGGATCACTACGACCCACAAACAGTCGCACGGCGTTTAGATTCGATCTCGCAGAGCAACTGCTCCCCGATCGATTATTTTGAGGTGGTATAATGGTGATAACAACTTTGTTGACCAAGAATGTGAGTGATTACGTTACAGGTGGACGATCTCTGCACCGACTCTGTGATACCTGCGATGTTGGATCGCTGATTACCCAGTTGACAGAAAGTAGGCTGAAAATTGCATATGTTCAACGGATTTCATTTCACCAGGCGTCTGGTGAAACTAACTGGTACAGAATTTAGTAGGTTGACCAAGGACGACGTCCAACAGTGTGTCTCTCGCCCATGCTGAACAAATACTTTCCATCACCGACGGTTCGTCGGGTTCATATTGAAACAACAGACGTCTATATTCCGTGAGTATTGGAGCCGTATTTTTCCGCGAGAGCTGTCGGCGTGAAGCAGCTGTCGGATATTAGTCACTGTTATGAACCACACACGCATAGCAGCCACAAGCATTGAGTACATTGGCCTGCGACGGATAAGGATTCCGACCCAAACGCACCAGTCCTACGGAACTACGATAGAGGTCATCTTGGTTTGTGATAGTGGTAAATAAAAATTATGCATTACCGCCTTTCAGGCCGCGATCAAAACAGAGTAATTTCAACTTGCTCTGTGTGACTCAAAAAACCTCTAAAGATTCTGATGGTTCCACTCAGAATGCTTATGTCCTCATTCACGCCATATGGTGACTTGGTTTTCTCGAAATCCCATGAGTGTATTTCACTTAGGCCACACTAAGTTTCAGTGTTGGCAGTCAGCTCCCACATACTTCTCAACGATATTACGTAATCGTTCGATATGACTCAGCAACAATGTAAAACTTTTCTTTTCAGGCTTAGCACTAACGCCACATCTTAAGTGAGTTAACGACTGAAGAAGGATGTTGAATAATTTAACAAAAGAAAATGGTGCGTTGATCAGTAGTGAACAATCAGTAAATTTTAACAGAGCAAGAACAAAGAAACAATTCTGCGGAATATTCCAAATTCAATATATTCCGTCGCTTTGCTTTGCCCTGGTGAGGTTAGCCAATGCAACTAACCATCAATTTCTGGTAGTTACCTATTGCTCCCAATCGTTGGAAATTTTCATCCATTGTATGTAAGTGGCTAAAGAGAATACTCGAAATATACTGAATTTAGTATATTTCGCGGAAATGTTCGCTGTTTTGCTCTGTTAAAATTGTTGAATGGAAGTGATTGTATGACATGTTTAAATCAGTAAATTAATTCAGGTTTTTAGGGCAAGGTCAGAGTAGTGTGCAAATAATGGAACGTCCACATTCGATAGTATTTCATAACAATCTGTAGAAGATATGGTTTGAGATGATAGTGAACGCAAAGTTACAAGTGTATAATGTGCGCTGTTCATCTTACCAGCGGATAAATGCCCATATGAGCCCCCAGTACTGGAAACCATGCTTCGGGAGGAACGCATTGCTTGAATTATGTTCAACGATCCCTGAGAGCTACGCGTGAGACTGGAGATGTCAAACAATTCGTGTGCCGAAGATTGCGAATGCGAACGCTTCTTCCCACCACGAACCAGAGGACTGATCGAGCTATTGGGCACATACCCACTGCTGTGATGACCACGGTGTGGGGCCGGCATATAGGCGATTGGTGGGAGAGCATGTTGGGAACGTAATGGGATACGAGGTACGCTACCGCTTCCAGGAGTGGTTCTGGTCGAGCTGCTTCCCGACAGCGGTGGGCCTAATGCACTGTTGGCCCAGTAACCGGAAGCAGCAGTCTCAGCGGTGGCAGCAACCGGGTTGGTAAACCATCGACGCACTGCGTTGAACGCGGCCGCGGCCATCACTGCTTCCGGGGAAGCGGAACACGGAGCATTGACTCGGGGAAGATAGCACTCCGCGTCGAAATCATGTCCCATGGCCAAAGGGCTGTAAAATTGTGAAAAGGTGAAACAGAAATCAGAAATAGTAATCATTCAATCCACAGAGAAAGTATGAATAAGTTGTGCACACAGATTTATTTCACCAGAATTCTGCTGGATAACGCCACCTTAGGCGACCAGCACTGGATAAAACCGCTTGCCCAGTGGTCCTATCGGGCGGAAGCGATGTTAGGTGTGTGTAGCTGAATGACAATTAGTGACCGGCCACTTGAACCAGAGCGGAAGACGAGTGAGCTACTATGAGTCGAGTCATGCTAACCCGAGTTAAATCGATCGTGTAAGACGATCTTATGCTAACGTGATATGGTTCAAGTTTCATGACGTAATGGAGACTGGAAGCTAATGATAATTCCACGGAAATTGTACTCCATTACAGAGAGGGACGTGCATCAATGATTGGCAGCTAAAGATCACGCAATCATTATAATTCGATTAAAGAACCGTGAAACCAGCGGAGCTATAACTTGGTTTGGTCACTGCTGTAACTGATGTGCATGCGCCATCATCATCATCATCATCATCATCACAAATTTCCTTTGCAGCGGACTCAAATAAATTCCACCACTGAGACTGCGCCTGGAGGAGATATGTTAGATGGTACTCGTCCCCAACACACAAGACCTCAGGAAAGGTTTCCTGGCTGTTTGAACTATTCAGATCGAGATGGCTGGAGCTGATGGGACTGGAACCTGTGACAGATATGCATCGTCTAACTCCACTGAGAACGCTTGTTACCACGGTTAGATGACACACTGCTGGTTTCTGGTGTAATCGTCGTAGGTGATATTACAAAATGTCGCAAAATATTATTCTCGGACATCTCTGCTTGAGTAGTACAACTAAAAAACATGCCATCCGTACTGTTAGAATTTAGTAACTATTAGTACCTACCCAGTATATCACTAGACACTGGCGGGGAAATGATAGTTTGAACACAGTCTGAATAAGAGTAGATGATCGATAAAAATAATCCAAAAGACCAACATGTCTACTCGCACGGGACAGGTCAGGTGTGTGCACTGATATAAAACCAGTTGGTTGGTCAATGGAATAATCTCCCATGCTGCCGTAGGTATGATTTAGTAAGCATGCAGGTATTGCGGTCGCCGTGATGATTTCTGTTTTAGATATGTACGCTAGTTTACGAGTCTACACCGAATGGGTTTGCACAAAATATGTGCCTGTGCGAGTAAATTTCACACAATTAACCCCCCGACAACAGATGTGAAGTGCCACTCGCATTCCAGTCGGTGCAATGACACGAGAGCTCAGGTGTCCGAACATTTGTGTTCCAACGTCAAATTGGCTCGTCTCCAATGCAAGACATATGAGGTAATTGCGAAAACGCGTTTCGCCGCGTGTTGTGTTTATGTGCGGGGAGTGCACGCTCGCTAACGCACGTGTGCGCGGCTTTTGCGTAAAAGTTTATTCTACTGGGGCATCCAGATGCGGATTAAACCAGATAGGGTAAGGTGAAATTTGAGCGCGTATTCAGTTCGGGAAATCGGAGAACTCGTTGCCGCAAAACACCACACCGATGGCAGTCCATCTGTTCGGCGAGGAACATAAACACGAATGGAGAAAATCGCGTATGTGTCGAATTTGGCAGCAACTTGGCGCCGACTAACAATGGCAGATAATTCATTATAACCATCCAAAGCTCCATTCCATCA